CTACAACAGTCATACAAGAAGCATTGTCTCCCTAGTTACAATGCCGCAGTCACAGATGGATATTCAATATTAGAAGAATATTTTTGTTGCAACTCTCCCAAGTGCAATCAACATCCCATACATCCAAAGTTGGCTACTGAATGTTAAACATGCGACTCACATATACCCAGATGTAGCATATTAAATACATCGAGTCCATACGTTTATGAATCTGGTTCGTCGGACCCTTTCGAAGCATGTGCTAGAAGCATTTAAAAAGAACAAAAAAACATGATATTCTAATATCTAAAATCATACTATTTTAAGACAATAAGGTTGTGAGTGTGGGTGTGGGGTGTGGATGTGAATAAAGAACATAGGCACACCCTGATCCATACACACACACCCCCACACCCAACGACAAACCACACATGCAATATATGTTGTTCCTTACGGATTTTCACAAAATTTGACGTGTTTTGGATAGCCAGATGATTTTCTAGAGGTAAATGGAGTTTTAGAAAATGAAATTTATGATGAAAGCAGAAATACATAAACAAGGTTTCTCTCTCATTGTGGGGGCCGTGAAAAGCATTCTGCCTAGTAAGTCTATTATGATCATAAAAAATCTCGTCTAAGTTGCTAGGCCAAGAATAAAATTTTTATTTAAAGTAATAGTAATTATCAAATGACAAGTTCATATACATCCTCAGACGCTCACCCACTACAATACCTCCAACCACATATCCTATCGTCATTTTCACCCTCACGCAGACATATATCTACACGCATATCCTCGCACAACCCTAGCAATGAGCTCTCTCACACCCTTAACTGATAATCTCACACAATGCATCGTTTCACAAGAAACGCCATTTTGTTGTTGTTGAATATTTGCCTCCAGCATTGTTAGAAGGCCAGTTTCTATTAACTCACTAAGAAATATAGCTAGTTACGACTTTTTCTGTTCTGTTTCTTCACAGGCTCGTAAATTTTTTTTTTTGTCGTTGTCATATAATAAAAATTACGCTAATACAGAACGCAAGAGGAAAAAAAGCATTTGCTCCTGAGAATAAATATGTGTGACACCGGAGTCATTCTATCGGTAGTTTTGCGCAGCACGCACCCATGAGAGTGTGGGTATGGGGTGTGGGTGTGAGTGTAAATGAAGACAAGGCGATACCCACACTCACACTCCACCCTTTCCGATTACCCTTCATGCTTTAGTACTTTTATTTTTAAACCTAAAGCACATACATTTTTTATGATTCGGCACACTCTGAAGATTTTAGCCATGCAACAAAAGGAATTTGTCTCAAAAAAAACTATTCCATTAAGTTTTCGAAGTAAACAGAAAAGTAAACTTAATATTTAAAGAAATTGGTGATATTTCAAAGCAGAATTTAATGTTTTATTTATGAATATGAAGTGTGAAAATTGCTTTATTCGTTTGAAAAAATCAATCAATATTGTTAAATTCTAGCAGAGATATTTGCTTTTGTTTTGTGTTAACGAAGTTACTTTTTTTTACGCATCTTGTCTGTTCTAAGAAAAGTTTTTAGTGTGGATCATTCAATAATTTCAATGATAATTTAGTAAATCGAAAAAACAAAACATCAAAGTTAATTGAACATTTGTGCAACCATGAGAGATTCAATCAATGTCTAGGAATATATCAAAAACTAATTCAAAATTTGATTTGAATCAGTCTACATTGTTAACTATAACAAAATAAATTTTCTTGAAACAATAGTGTATTCTTTCTGCCGAAGTCTGCCTGTTACAAGTATATACATCAAGTTTTTCGTTATGAGCAACTAACGAGCTGATAGAGAATGTGGACATAAACGCTATGCTATTGATAGTAAACAAATATACAACACCAGCAAGCCTAGCAATGGAATGATTAACAATAATAAGAAATAATGAAATCAATTACACAACAAAAAAGTAAAAGAAAGTGTCTTGTTCCTTCATGATTATTTACATTTCACTTCGACGTTTTTTTCTTTTTTCATCGCAGAAACTCGAGTTCTGTGGGTAAATATTTACAATGTGTTGTCGTTATCGATAAAAGTAAAGGTGCGTTAGCGCGAATATGAATGTGTCTTGTTTTCTTGCTTGAAAAGGATAAAGAGAATGCAGTTGTGAATAGATTTGGTTGTCAGTGTAAGTTACAGTTATTAGAATTGTATACTCATATGTAGAGTGTGGATGTGGGCGTTCGACATTTCCCTTCAAATCCACAACCACACACTAGATGTGATTATTTTCGTGTCATGCACAAACACGTCCACATCTTGACAATCATAAGTAACTATTATTAGAAAATAGCAGAAATCGAATGACGGTAGCGAAAAGAAAGAATCTATTACGTTTCCATTTTTCTCCTAAGAAGAACAAAAAAGCAATCAACTTGTTTTTTTTTCTTTCTTTTTTCAACGCATATTTCTTCTTTGTTTTTACGTCAATTTTCACTAAGTAGATACCAGCCGGAAGGAATGTGAGTTGCTGAAAAATGGTCAAATTGAAGCTGTCCAAATTCTGTGAAGATAAAGTCATTTTCTAGTAGAAAAGAAATTGACTGAAAACTAACTCATGCGAATGTCTCACAAGAAATTCAATAGTTTTCGATTAACTTATTATGTAAAGATATACTATTAGTGAACAAAATACATATCTTCTGGCGACAGATCTTATATATCAATTTCGTCAGTAATGACCTTTATCTGGATAATAAACTGAGAAAAAATTATTGTTTTTGTCATCTTTCTCACGAACTCGTAGGGTAAAATATGTTTTTGAAAGAAAAGAACTATTATGTATAACTGCTCTATGCGGATTGCACTATACGTCATTTTACAGCACAAGGTGTTGTAAAAGAATATTTAAAAAAACTGAATTAGCACTTGTATAATATGTTTGTTCAAGAAATCGAGAAGATAACGAGCAGTCTCTATAAGCACAAGCAAGGATCTGAGACATTTACGCGAAGTTCTGTTGTCATCCCACATATTTTTTACGTAGACTGATTTGGTTAACAATATTTGAAGTATCAAAGTAAAGATAAGATACTTTATCTATGGTGTATGTCTACCACATTTCTAGAATAAAGAGCAGCAAGTGCGGTTATCGTTTTATTTTAGAGAATTTCTCTTTTGTCTTATTACACTCAGACGCAATGACTGAATCAATACCAAAATTGAAACAAGAAAATGACAAAAAAAGAATCGATAATTTGGTTCAAAGTGGTACGGACAATGAAAACGATTTGTCACGATTGCCACAATCTGAACAACATAGACTAGTATCAAATAATTCGAAACAAAAGAACGCACCTCGGTTATTCATTCCTCGATTTGCTCCACAGGTTGTATCTTTGACTAAAAATAAGCCTCGTCAAAGCAGAGGATTGCAATACGAAGGAAAAGCACCAGGTACAGATTTATTCAGAAACTTTAGAATCTCATCAAATGCAGTCTCTTTCATTTCAGTGGAGTTGAACAATCACGTACAAAGAGACAGACACTATTATTTTCAGAATAAAGTGAGCAATCCTATGTTTGTAGTGATGATCATCTTTTGAAAAAATATCTCATTCGTTCTAGGTAGAAAAAAATCTCAATGCAGTCTCTAATAAAGAAGCATTCTCTAACCATCTAGCAGCCTTGAAATCTGTTTTTGATAGAGTCGTCATCGAGCAGTTCTTGTCCAGGCCTAGTCTTGAAGAAGCACTACACCTATATAACGGATTACGGACTATTATCCAAGCCAAAAAACCAGGTAGTCGGCATACACAATATGTTTAGTAAATTAATGACCTAGGTTCTGTTACAAATAGATGCTCAAATTACTCTGTATGGTTCCGTATATTTTGCTTGTTGTTTGAAAGACTCGGCTTTGATTGATATTGATGTTCAATGTGATGGACTTTTACCTTACAGTACTCTAAGAGAAGTACTTGAAATCATTCGTAATTCTGGTATACAATAGCATGTTTGTATAGAACGTCATCTATTTCATTTTTCACTAGGTTCTTACCAAGACATTCGCCTGAATACAGATCATGAACCATGTTGTATTGATTTCATTGTACCAGAAACAAAATTTCGCATGCGAATAACATCAAATTACATTCTAGGGATATATAGTTCTGAAATAATTCGTCTCTACACAAGATTCGATCTACGTGTACTTCATTTGCTAAGACTTTTTCGATTTTTCGCCAAGGTCAGCTTTTTGTGACTGTAAAATAGTCAATTGTGACTTTCCTTCTTTTACGATTCAGATATGTTCTTTGGATAAACCAGATCTGGGCACTGTTCATCCAATTGTTTTTCATATTATGCTTATTCATTTTTTGCAACAAATACAACAGCCAGTTGTGCCTTGTCTGCATGAATACGTAAGTTTTCGTTTTTGATCTTCACTAAATCTCGTTTATTTTGTCAATAACTGAAGATATTTGGAGTTGATAATGCACTAATCAAACCGAGTAACGATCAGTACATTGAATTTTTCCGTATTTGCAACGACTATACCAATAGATGGAAGAGTAAAAACAACACATCTGTTGAAATACTCTTTCTTCAATTACTCTCTTACTATGTATTCAAATTCGACATGAATCAATTCATCGTTTCTATACAAACACGAATGCCAATTCTAAAAAATGAAAAACAAAAACTTTGCCGGCATCTGTTTTGTGCAGGTAACATTAACTGAAATTTGCATTTTGAAGCTTCTTCTTCTGTCCTATAGATCCGACATACATCAATAAAAATTTATCTTACACAATGAAAGTGAATTCCTCGGTTAGATATTTTCGACGAATATTCAACAATGCATTGAATTATTTCTGTCGAAATGAGAAAGAAGCACAAACGAAAAGCTATTCGATAATTAGAGAAGTGCAACGATCTTGCAAATCTTTGTTTGTTGCTTTAGTATTAGAAGTTAACGGCAAGATGAACTTCACACAGAAAGATCTACAACAAGCATATAAACAAACATTCGATAACATGCTGAATCCTTGGCCTGAACCCAAACTTAAATTGAATGATAACAATCTATTACCATTACCAGACGAAGAAGTTGTTAGTGAAGACGAACTTGAAGCACCATCTCGGGATGATCTCGATACAGATTCTGAAGATGGTCACGATAATAAAATTGAAGTCAATGCTAGCATGTCACTTGACGATACTATTATTGATCATGAAATAGAAGCATACGAACAAGATACTGATAAGATTGAAACAGTTAGGTAAATGAACGAAAACCATTGAATTGATTATTCAGAATATTTGATTCATATTTATTTTTCTAGATCAAACAATGAGCAAGTCGAAAACATACAAGGCATACATGATACTCACAGCGTGGAAGACGATATAATGGAACACCCCATAGCATTCGAGACACTCGCTGAACACCTCGATGAAAATCAAAAACGTACTTTCAGAATAGAATACCAACGACAAGGTACTAGTGAACTGAGTTTGTTGGAATCGATCATGATATTCGACAAACCAGAAAAGAACTTGTTAAACATTTATGAATGCGACATTTGCTTCCAGAAATTCTTTACAGTTACTGAATGAAAATTTATTGAAAATTTTAGTTGTATGCTGATTTTTTTAAGGACCGCAAAATATTAACAAAATATTTTTCTCCCAGCTAAATTATCAATGTCTACGTCAGATGAGAAAATGTCTCAGTTGTATAGATTGTGATATTTTATAGATATATGAGTCGTTTAGAACTTTGGCCGTAGAAAACTGTGACAAAATGTGAAATAGCATTTTCAGTATTTTTACATTTTGATCGTTAAAGAACCATTATCGAATGTTGGACTCATTCAACAATTGTAGAGTTATGCTAACGTGAACATGCTAAATACAAGAAGAAAGCTTGATACTGAATGAGTTTTTATATTGCAATTGACAAGAACGAGATGAAGGGGCAATTATATGTCATTCTATAGAACATAATTATGAAGTACATGCAACCTGGAAAGTCTAAATTTTGAGTTGTATAAACAGCTTCTTCCGAACGATATTAAATTTCACTTTTCACTCATTCGTTTTTTGTCCGATTTTAATAAGTTTCGATTTGGTATATCTATTTACAGTTCGTGAATTCAATGAAAAAATGCGAGCGATAGTTTATGGTTTTAAAATATTACCAGTATCTGATTCGAGTGTATTGTCCTTTGTTAATAATGTCAATGATGAATGTTCTTCTCAGCAACTTGCAGAACACTTCCATGTTTCTGCTTCTTCAACGGAGACTAATTCACAGTTGGTTCGACTTAATCAAATCATCTCCACAGATATACTGGCGTCGCTGGAAGAAATCTCACTCAATGATTCTGCTGAAGTCATTCATGAATTTCAAGCAAAAAACTTTGGAGCTGATAAAGTACGAAGTTCTTCATATGAACCATGTTAACATAATGTTTTTGTTTTATTGTTTAGGGTGTCCCTACAGTCTGTACTGTGTGCTATAGAAGCAATCATTCCAAGTCTAATTGTCCCGAATTATCTATACCGAATATGGTTGATGTGCCAGAAGTGAATAAAAACTGGTCTGAAATACTCTCATGTCTTTGTCAAAAAATGACAGGTAAAATTTTTCATATAATATCACTTTTTATCTTCTCGCTAGCTATGTACATTTTTAGAAAAATATAAACCGACCAAGGAATGTATTGAAAAACGTGAAACAATCTTAAATTATCTTGAAACAGGATTTCGAAAAAAATATCCCAATTGTAGTGTACGTGCATATGGTTCATTCTATAATGGTTTTGGTTTTCAGCTAAGCGATCTCGACGTTTGCGTTCTCTATGAAACGAATGTTTGTATTTGATTTCAATCATTTCTATTAACCAGTGAATTTCTATTTACATTCTAGAAAAAAGAAACTACAATTCAAGTTCTAGAAAACTTAGCTCAATCTATGGAATCCGATAAAAATATGTTCAAAAGTGTTGAAATAATGCGAAGTGCTAGAGTACCAATCATTCGATCAATACATATTCAATCTAAGATCGAAATTGATATTAGTCTAAATAATATTTTGGTGCGTCATTTTCCGAATGCATAGGATCTCTCAAAAAAGCATTATAGATATATTTTTTCGTCGAGGAATGATAGAACTATCTCATCTACTATGACATCTTCTATTTAGCCTATTGAAAATACTCGACTACTGAAAATGTATTCAGATATTGATCCACGAGTGTGCGAACTTGGTTTTATAATGAAGACTTTAGCAAAAGTAAGAAATGATGAGTTTGTTTTCTGTCTATATTCAAGCTACAGATCATAATGTCAGATCGAGTATTGAGTTGTTTCTAAATATGGTATTTCAGACATGCGATATCGGTGATGCAAGTCATGGAACACTCTCAAGCTATGCATATATTATTATGGTGATACACTTTCTTCAACAAATTCAACCACCTGTTGTACCCATTCTGCAGCAAGTTTGTGAAAATTTTTTTCTCGAAAAACCTGTTTACTTTTTCTAGTTCTTTCGAATTTTAGTTGAATGACAATCAATCAACTAACACTTCGAATGTTCGAAAATATGCTGATTGGAATATTTACTTCTATGATGATTTAACTCAACTTGTACGTATTTATGATTGTATTTAAAAATTTTGTTTTATTTCGTGAGATGGTGTTTTTGTTATTTAGAATAAAGTATGGAACGGTTACGGATTGAACAAATTATCATCAGGTGAATTATGGATTGAATTGTTACGTTATTATACAGAACTATTTGATTATGAAAAAAATATTGTCACTATTCGACAATATGAACCATTATCACGTTTGGAAAAAGGATGGTTTCGTCAAACTATTGCTATTGAAGATCCATTTATTTTGACTCATAATTTAGCTGATGCATTGTTTCTGAAAAGTAAGTACTAAATTTTATTTTCTGTTGGTTATAGCGATCGATGATATTGTTGCTATATAGAATGGATAAGAATTCGTCATGTATTTTTTCATGCTCGACAACGATTCTGCTCACAGCCGAATAACATCGATATCGATATACATCAACCAAATATGGAACAATTACAGGTCTGATTAGTTGTTTACTTATTACATAATGATGAGTAAAAGAGAAAAACTATGTCTTTTTAGGAATATCTCTTTAATAAGAAGGCTTTATGTTCAAAAATTACAGCATATCGAAGTAAAAGCAATTCATTACCTAATGACATTAGTAAAACAAAATCGAAAACAGCAAAATCCAAAAGAAACAAGCAAAAGAATCCTACGACGAATGCAGACATTCCAATCGATTCTACCGCTAAAAATGTTGGTAAACAAAACCAGAGACATCAAATAAACTCCGTCGGCAGAGTTGGGGGTCACATATTCGTCAATCAGAGGAAACCCACTACTCAATGACCACAGCATTCGTGTTTAGACAAAAATCATATGCTTCCATCTAAGTGATTTTCTAAAAATGTTTTTAACGTAACAAATAAAATCTGGTTGTGGATGCATGATGATGTGAGTCTTTTCTGTTGCACCCACATTCACATCGACATCCATATAAATGCAAGATTTTCGTTGCTAACGAAAGCCATATCCAACAATATCTTCTGCTTTTCATAATTTTCATTGGTTGAAACTACCGGGACTCAAAGAATATCGAAGTTTTCGGTAATGCGTCGTGTTTGTGTTAGCTTCTTATCGACGTTGTGAATAACTAAATTATGAAAGAAATTTGTCTATGATTGTATCATAGCTTTTTCAATTACTTTTTGACGATCATAGTCAAGTTACTAATGAAAATTCTTGCTAGTTTAGTTCAGAGATGTCCATCGCGGCTGAAAATCTGCCGCTGCCGCGCCGCGGCCTTAGAAAAAAAAAGCTACCGCACCGCTGCCGCGCCGCGACGGTTTATAAAAAAATGTTGCCGCGACGCTGCCGCACCGCGATGACTTATAAAAGAAACGCTGCCGCGCCGCTGCCGCGATGAATTATAAAATAAACGTGCCGCCACCGCACCGCTGCCGCGACGATTTTCAAAAAAGTGTTTCTAATTTCACTGCTGTGACTATATTTGACCAGAGATATGGGTACTAGTCCATCAGATTTATTCAATATCAGGGCGTTTCATTTGTAAATCGTGAAATTCTATTAAATTCATACAGTTTTTCAATGTCCTCCAAAAAAATCCTGCCGCTGCCGCGCCGCTGCCGCGATGGTTTTTTAAAAAACCTGCCGCTACCGCGGCGCTGCCGCGATGACTTTTAAAAAAATCTGCCGCTACCGCGCCGCTGCCGTGGTGATTTTTTTTAAAAACCTGCCGCTGCCGCGCCGCCACCGCCACCGCGGCAGCGGCAGCGCCGCGATGGACATCTCTGGTTTAGTTATCTTTATCGTATTATATTTCAAATGAATGTTTTATCGTCAAAAGGAGACACAACCACTTCTGATTCGAAACATATCTGCTAAATACCATCAATCGTCTAATTATGCTTTATATAATTTCAGAATCCATTTATTGCAATCGCTATTAAAACGTTGATGAACATAAAAGGAAAAAACTAGCTTCAATTCTCGATAAATCATCTCAAGAATCATGTTCTTAAAAAAAAGGATTTCTTTTCCTATTTCTATTCTTCATTTTTCTTTTTGATTTTTTACAAATCTCTCATTCAGATGAGAGCAAGTACTGGTTGATTAGAGTAGTCATTCATTTCGAAAAATAAGTGCTTCTGAACAGGTTCTTCAACGATCACCCGTCGATCACTCTTGATTATCACGTATTACAAACACTTCGTTGTTTAAAAAGCCAATCAATGGATCTTTTCCTCTGATATATCGTTCATCAATTATTAAACAAGATGAATTTTAAGCAGAGTATTTGATTATGAAACAATGTCTTCAGAATAAACAATCTATTACTGTTCACAAATGAAATATCCTTAGAAACCCAATTGGCTTGATTCCTTGTAAAAAGTCGAAATTGTGAAATGCTAATAGGATTGAGAACAACAGGATTCTTTTTCATTGATTAGAATGACAAAAACAAACTCGACCGAATGGCTTTAATTGATGTTTCTTCTTCAAAGTTCCATAGGTTCTCCCGAAATATAACTAATATTTCGTTGAACATGTATATTACAAGCTTTCTTACCATAATCCTGACATGTTTGCTGTTTTATATTATTAATCCGTGCTTTACTTTCATGCCGTTGATTTTAGTATATGCGATAGAGAATCAACATATACAGCGGCCACAAAACTAACAACAGCATCACTAAAGCTTGAAACACTTACCTGTACCTCAAATAGAGTGAGATTGGGGGTTGATGGCGATGGTCTTCTTTTCGTTCTGGTTTTCTTTGCCATTCATTTTAATTCAGACTGACATAATAGCTTCAAATAGTAATAATACTGTCATCTAGTTTGCAGCCGCTGGATTCTCTGATTCACTGTTGTATTTACTTATGTTTGCAGCATGAAAGTAAAGCTTAGATCGCAAGCATAAAAACAGAAAAAGAAGAATCGTAATTATTCAAGGATAGAGTGTATCGAAGCACAAATGAGAGACAGAACGGTACAAAAAGAAATTCGATTCGGTCTCTTTCATTTTTTCACATACTTTTATATATCGTTGCGACGTCATACAGAATCAGAAAGACAAGCATTGCTTATACGACTCGGTTACTTCTGCAAGAAATACTTTCTTGAAAAAAACAACAGGCAATCTTTACATCAACAGATAAAACTGTCAATCGCATAGAACATGGCAGAAGTGAATGATTGGAACGGTAGGTGCATCTTGTCAAAATGTCTAAGATCAATTATCAATGCAAGGTTTGTCTGTATCTCTTATTTTAGAGAGATTATTTGGCTGTTTCGATGACTGCGGTATCTGCTGCTACGGATATTGGTGTCCATCATGTCTCTTCGGCTCAAATGCTAAGAAATTAGATGGTAGCAGCTGCTGGGTGATGTGCTGTGTGTATTGGGCACTAGGTGGCTCTTATCAATACTGGTTACCGCACTATTTCAAAAGAGAAAAATTTCGAAAAATGTATGGCCTTCGAGAAGACCCAAAATGTGGCGATGTCCCGGCAACACTATGTTGTAGTTCATGTGCACTTTGTCAAGAAGCTCGTGAAATGAAATCCAGAGGTAAGCATGCTGCAATTATCGGGATTGGCAAGTATTTATAAATTTAGGTCACTATCCCGGCAAGAGTCGAGATACGTCTTACATGGCTACAAGTTCTGCTGTTTTCTCTCAACCAACGTACATTAGACCAATGCCGCAAGATGTACTTGACTCACGCACATTTTAAACGAACGACCACCGATTCTAACACAAAACTCAATGTCATCAACAAATATCATCGTTATTGACGCTTTTTTTCTCGTATATCTTGGCAACTATTCTTTTTATTTTTACTAGAAGCCAGCCAGTCTCATATTTTATTTTAATCATCTCATATTACTCCTTTGTGTTCTACTTCACCTTATCCATGTCATGAAAACATGTTTAAATCAAAGGATCTTTTTTATTCGTATCATATTTGACGTAGCTTAACAGAAAAGGAATTATTTGAGAGACAGCATGCACGGATTACTTTATAAAAGAAAAAAAAACGTGCATGTGTTGAAACTGATTAACGATAAGTTAATTTTGTCAACTACCTCAGCTAGGCAGCTTTCTCAAAGCGAATATTACTGTTGGTACAGCATAGAGATGACGACGAATAACTACAAACATATATACGGCGTTTGCTTGAATGGTTGATCACAGCCCTTTTCTCTCTCGCATCTGTACATGAAAGTACATTTGAAATTCTTTTGCATTTTTTTTTACATCAACAGTTGAACATGTGGTAAGATGTTTAATTCGACGACACAATAGTACAATAGCCAAGTCTTTGGATTTGAATTCTATAATTTTATTTTGGAATGGATGCAAGATTGCAGTGCGAAAAGATAAAACTTCTATAAATAAATAAACTATTTATAGGCTGCCTTTGAAACATAAGATCAGAAAAAAAACGATGGAAAACAGGTTTTGTTATCTAGAAAGCCTTTGCTCGTACCATAATTAATCCTCCATAAAAGGACCGAAAGATTTAGCTTGCCAGCATTTTCTTCTTTAGTTGAAGAATATTTGCAAGATAATACTCATCTGCAGAAATCTATATACTAGTTACTCGATTTTGTTTAAAATAGAGATAAACGGAAATCTTTGCCGAGTTCATCATTGTTGTTTATCTAGGTTTTTTCCAGCTGCTGAAGACCATATTTATCGTCACTTTAGGTTCTATAATAATTTCATAAACACTATTTGAAAGGCATAAATAGATGTATAGTAGCAAGTTTGGTATCTATTTCTAATGAAAATTCTTCGTTAAAGGAAATCAAGATCTTGCACACTTGCGAAGATAAATCTTTCCTAGTATTGAAATAACTCTTCAAATACTTAGAATTGATAGTAGTTACTTTTATCTATTTAAAATAAATATAATGTTTGGATGTTTTTTCAAGCAATTCTATAAACATTAAGAACTCAAGAGCCGTGCTTTTGATCGTTGAGCAAAGCACATTCAACCTTATAAATCAAAGTGACAGTTTGATTGTTCAATAAGTCGCCGATCTAATAAAATTTTGCTCGAGTCTTCGTAAATAATCATTCAGAAACATCTGATATTGGGTTTTGAGTTATGCTTTCACTATTGAACTTCAAATCATTACAAAAAGAATGGTAAACATAGTGGTAATCGACCACACCAAATTGAGAAGTGATCTTGATTTTTGCTTTCAAAGTGGTTTAAAATAACGATATCAAGATTTTCTGACAATGCGTATAACTGTTCCTATCATGCTTATGAAATGAAAACCAGCGAACCATATTTTCTATAGGTCGATGGATAATTTTTGTTT